TACCCCAGTGAGTTTCACAGCAAAGAACTAGAGTGAAAAGATAATGAAGGGAAAACAGATGCTGGCAGATGAAAGAAACCCATGAAGTGGACAGAGACACACAAGTAAAGGCCCACTTTAGAGTCCTGTTCTCTCCAGAGTGTTTGCTGAGTCTTCTTGCTCGCTGCTTTTTCATGAGTACAAATGGTACAGCATTGCAAAGAACAGTCACAAACTGAGGAAACTGAGTAAGTGCGAAGAGTCAACTCTTACTCTACAAAACACTTAAAGTAAAACTGATAGTAAAATAGGTGGATCCAAAGTGAAGCTTTGCTGTATGGCAGACTTCAAATTTTGCTTGCTGTAAACCCTTACTGGAAGCCATTCAAAACATAAGAACAAAGATGCCAAATACAGAACAGAACAGTGATAATTTTTCTGTAAGTGAATTCCTGATCGACACATGAAACATCTCAGAAGTAGCTCATGTAATCTTGATATTTCACAGTCACAAGTCATTTGTGATTGATAACAACTCCCTGAATTTTCTCTTTGTGTTCCTCAAAATTATGGAGAACATTTTGTATTTCCTACAGCCTCTTCTGCCCTCCTAATAGTAGAAGAATGACAAGTCATACTGTGGTGTATCATCCAAAGACCTCTCAGGACACGGGAAAGAAAACTGAATAAAACAGAAAGGCTGTAGACAAGAGGAAAAAGAGATCTACAGGACAAAATGTTCCTACTTTTAAATCACAGTGGGTGCATAACACGTAGTTGTTGAAAGAGCTAGTTATTCCACAGGAGATTTTTCTTTTCCTTGTATGCTTCCAGCATAGCTATACATTTTTCCTAGATGAGATCCGTTTACTTAGGCACGATTGAAAGCCTTGGCTAGCTTTTCAGTATTACATCGCTTTCCAGAGCATGTACAGATGCCCTATGGTCCATACCCTCAGATTTGCTTTTGTCCCATGAACTGCTCAGAAATTACTTGTACACTTCCAGGGTGGTCAACATATTTCTGGCAGTTAGGGTGGGTACTGCATTTCTAGGTGTGCAACCTTCAGGATTATCTGTTCATTACTTCTTTTCCAATTTTATTTTTTTTTTCCCCCTTTTTGTGATTTCAAACAGACACCCGCAGCAGATGCTTCATGCTTTCAGCCTGCCATGTGCATGCTGTCCCATCGGCAGCTGCTCCTCTGGCATGCATGTACACCATACGGGGGAGCATGCTTGCTCCTCTAACACCTCCCAGAAAGCTTCAGCAACTTTCCTTCAACATGGAGTCCAGCATCCCCGGGGGCTTTAAAGTGACTGCCCACGGCTTTTTTCAGCGTTGCTCTCCCAGACATTGCCTTGTCTGGGTTTTCCAGTCTGGAATTTCTGTCAGCACAGTTTCTTTTTATGACTCAAAGCAAACTCACATCTTTTTTTCCCTTTCACTCCTGTCTGGATTAAAAGGGGGGGGGGGGGGGGGGGCGTTTTTTTTGTATGGACGC